GGTTTGATCTCCTCTGGTTCATGGGATATGTGAGTGACTGCTGTATAGTCGGTCTGGGGCCAGACCTCCCTGACCCCTTTTTTTTTTTTTTTTTTTTTTTTTCGAGATGGAGTCTCACTGTGTTGCCCAGGCTGGAGTACAATGGTTTGATCTTGGCTCACTGCAACCTCCACTTCCTGGGTTCAAGCGATTCTCCTGCCTTAGCCTCCTGAGTAGCTGGGATTACAAGCGTGTGCCACCATGCTTGCACAGTTTTGTATTTTTAGCAGACACGGGGTTTCACCATTTGACCAGGTTGGTCTTGAGCTCCTGACCTCAAGTGATCCTCCCACCTCGGCCTCCCAAAGTGCAGGGATTACAGGCATGAGCCACAGTGCCCAGCCTTGACCCACACTTTTTATGGGGAAGAGAGGGCGGTGGGCCCTTTGCAGCCTGAGTTTTCACTGCACATTGGAGCGGGAAGGGTCTGTGGTGGGTGGAATTGGGTCCTCCCCAAATGCATGTCTACCTGGAGCCTCAGAATGTGACCTTGGTTGGAAAGAGGGTTTTTGCAGACGTAATTAAGGAAAGGGTCCAAATGAGATCACTGCATTCGGGTGGACCTCAGTTCAATGTCTGGTGTCTTTATGAGAGGGTGCACAGAGGCACATATACAGTGGAGAAGGCCACGTGGAGACAGAGGTGAAGACTGGAGTGGTACAACCAGGGAATTGCCAAGGTGCCAGGAGCCACCAGGAGCTGCAAGAGGCAGCAAAAGATTCTTCTCCACAGAGGGAGCAGAGCACCGCAGACACCTTGATTTCAGGATTCTGGCCTTTAGGACTGTGAAAGGAGACAGTTCCATTGTTTTAAGCCACCCAGCAGAAGGTCATTCATTATGGCATCCCCAGGACACGAATACAGTCTGGCTTCATGCTTGATCTAGGTTGGTGAAGGAGGACATGGGGTCCTCTGAGGCCATTGTGGTGGCACTGAGTAGCCCGAGGGACCCTTTTCAGCATCAGAATGGTGGGAAGTGGTGTGCAGACCACAGCCTCGAACACGCAGAGTGGGAGGGAGGACTGGGGTCTGGGGGCCTGCTGGGAGGGCCTGTCCAACAAAAGACCTTTTGATCTACCAATTTTTTTTTTTTTTAGAGATAAAGTCTCGCTGTGTCACCCAGGCTGGAGTGCAGTGGCTCAATCTCAGCTCACTGTAACCTCTGCCTCCCATGTTCAAGCGAGTCCCCTGCCTCAGCTCTTGAGTAGCTGGGATTACAGGCACATGTCACCACACCCGGCTAATTTTTGTATTTTTTGGTAGAGATGGGGTTTCTCTGTATTGGTCAGGCTGGTCCAAACTCCTGGTATCAAGTGATCAACCTGCCTCTGCCTCCCAAAGTGCTGGGATTACACGTGTGAGCCACCGCACCCAACTGATTTACAAATATTTTGAAAATACTACTTATGAACGGCCCAAGAATTTCACTTCTAGCAGTTTATCTTAAGGAAAAAATAAAAAATTCAGATGAAACCTTATCCCCCTACATGTTTTTCAAGACACTTTTTTTTTTTTTTTT